CAATTCTAATTTGGATTTTAACAAACTTTTTGCTCACTTCCACCACTTTCCTCCATCCCTTCATTGATATAGTTAATTGAGTGTTTATTTACTGGCTGATTGAGTTTATGGCTCATGGAACCCTTTTCTGACTAATCCAACTTGTTTTGAGTGGGCAAGACAAGGACAAAACTGGTTTTGTATAGTTCAGGCGCAATGGGCAGCAATACTCGCTAAGGCCAGAAGATGGTGGTGGTGTCCATACAAGTGGATCCGTTTCTCTTCATTGTTCAAAGTATTTTAAGCTCTTCTGTATTTTCAAAAGCCACACGGAATCCAGGCTTTAAAAATACTGAAATTAATATAGTAATTCCGGTATGTATTAGTCTCGTACACACAGGAATGAGAAAGGTCTTTGCCTCAGAGCTTTGGCACACATAAATACTGCATTAATTTTCTTTCAGGTTTTTTTTTTTTTTTTTTTGTATTGTGTATGTACAAATACACACGAGGGTTCAGAGCCCAGCTACACGGAGTGGGTTCGTGCTCCGGCTATATGGGCTGTCAGGCAGGCCAGCAAAGTCCTTTTACCTGCTGAGCCATCTCACTGGCCTACATTTGAGATTAGGAGCCCATAATCAAGTAATTTTACTTGACAGGCTTGTTTTATATCTTTTGTAATAAAAACAAAAGGTGCCCATGGAGCTATGGCCCCCACCGCATCTGTTTCATACCCTTAATGATTTTCAGTTTTTAAAATCCTGCTCTATCCACGGTGACCTCTTATTCATTACCAAACCTTTGTGATTTCTACTATAGGATTAACCGTAGCGTGCAGTCTCCCATACTCTACGTAGGATGGTACCTATGAAATTCTTGCTTGGTCGATGCTACAACTCTGAGGATTTTGAAGACTAGCCTGGGCAGAATGTTACCTATTAAAACCATCTACCAATGGCTGTCCATTTTTAAGAATTATCAGTATAATCGCACACTTGAATGGGTTGAGAAAGGCCCCGAGAGTTCGAGTTCTTCCATACTACAGATAATTGCTTCCTTCTCGCCTGACAGACTGGGTTAACTGGGCTAAGGTGAGTGTGGTTATTGGAGACCCGGCAAAGGCTGAATCTGAAGGGCCCTGAGCTCTCTGCACCACATCCCAGGCCCTTATCGAGGCTTGCGGAGAGTACTGCAAGGCAGGCCCAAGATCGCTGTCCTCTTCGAATGTGTGAGCAGAGAGAGTACCACGACACAAGAACCCTAAGAAGGAGCCCCACACCGTGGTGCGAACCTCGCAGCTCTTTCAGGAAGCCAAGGCTGAAGGACAGCGAGTTCAAGGCCAGTTTGGGTTAGCAGGGAGCCTGTTTCAAAACAAATAAATACATAAATACACCTATAAATCAATTTTGCAAATGTGCAGGACGTGTCGAGTGGTCAGGAAGAACCGAGATGACGCTCAAAGGGCCCAGACGTCCGCGGAGTCCACGCGCACCGACCCTGCGGAGCCCGCAGCTCCGACCGCAGCCGCGCGTCACTCACCCCGGAGGAGACGCCCCCAGCCCGTGGCCGACGCTCCGCCGCGCGTCACTCAACCCGGGGGACGACGCCCCCGGCCTCGCGCAGCGCCGGGCCGCGCGACCACCCCAACCCCCGCCGAGGGGCGGGGCGGGGCGGGGCGAGGAGGGGCGGGGCGGGGCGAGCGGACGCCATCGCCGCGCTACCGGCCGGCGGGCGGCGTGCTGGCCAGCGCCGAGCGCCGCGGCGTCCCCGCCTAGTCCCCGCGGCGGCGCGCGGCCGGCCTGGGCGGCGGCGGCCCGAAGATGCGGAGGCGGCGGCTCGCAGAGACGATGCTCCGGAGCTGAGGAGACGCGGCACCCGAGCGCCGGCCGGCCGCGTAGCGACGTGGGCCGCATGGCGCAGCCCTCGGGCCCCGGCGGCGAGGGGCCGCAGCTCGGGGCGGCGGGGGGCCCGCGCGACGCGCTGAGCCTGGAGGAGATCCTGCGGCTCTACAACCAGCCCATCAACGAGGAGCAGGCGTGGGCCGTGTGCTTCCAGTGCTGCGGCTCCCTGCGCGCCGCCGCCCGCCGCCAGCCCCACCGCCGCGTGCGCTCGGCCGCGCAGATCCGCGTCTGGAGAGACGGCGCCGTCACCCTGGCGCCCGCCGCCGGCGAAGAGGGAGAGCCGCCCCCCGCCCCCGGTGAGGTCGCGGTGATTCTCCCCCCCCCCCCCGGCCCCGGGGGGGAGCGGGAGGGCGGGCGCGGCCGCGGGCCCCGGGCTCGGGGAGCCTGGGTGCGAGTCCGCCGGCCTCGGCTGTTTACCGGTGGCTGCGCTGGGGGCGGGGGAGGGCTCCGAAGAGGCTCGCGTGAGCTCCCTGTCGGGAAGATGACATCTTTGAGAAAGAGCAGTCCCCTCCGTAGCATTTCGAATTTGTCAGTAGTCCTTGGGAATGCCCGGGAAGCCACTGAGCCCCGAGAATTCCGCTGTTTGGGGGAGAGAGAGAATAAATGATGACTCCGGGTCCCGAGTGTGAGAATTTGCTGTGATGGAAAGGACAGGTTTATGAAAAGTAAACAGGCCGTTTAGATGAAATGGCTTTTAGCTAGTAGCGCACAATCTTCATGACCTAAACAGTGACACATAACCAGGAGCTTACTCACATGCTTTATTGATGGTAAGACTGGTAAGAGGTTTCCCCTATCCGGTTTTATCTAATCCATTCTTTGAGAAGCAAGTCTATTCAAAACATAGCAAAACAATCCACCTTCACCTTTAGAAAGTTGATGGAAGTGTCAAAATGCTCAAGGTGGAAAGTGTAATTAGATTAGTCTGTAAAATGACATTTTGTGAAAATCCTTTTATAAATTGAGGGAAACATTCAGAATTATCAGTCCTACCAGAATGTTCTCATTTTTTTAGTTAAAGCAAACACAGTTTTATTAATTTGTCTAAAGCCAGCCTTTGTGATGTATTAAAAACCTCAATCTTTGAACTATTTTCCCGAGTACCGTGTGATGTTTTGTTATATGTGTACCTTGAATAATATTTAAAGCTGACTTTTTAATGATGCTTTTGAATCTCTTTTTTTTTTTTTTCCTTAAAACATTTTTTTTTTTTTTTAATTTGATCTGTTGCTTGATTTTAGACTTGGCCTTAGTGGGTTACAGTTTCAGTTGTAACTTATTTATAAGATGCCATGAAAAGATATTTTTTTTCAAAACAACGAGGCTTTGTGTTGGTCCCAAACTGTTTCAAGAGGGAAGAGTGTGTGCGACCTCTCTTCAGAAAAATCTTTGGTTGTATTGAAAGAACAGGCCTCGTTGTCTGGTGTATCAAGAACTGTTGAGGGACTTGATCCCAGAAGTGTTCTGGCTGTTTGTCAAAGATTATTATAGATTCTTTGGGGTGATTCTTGTAACTGTTGTTGGAACGTTGAGATGAATGAGCTTTTGCATCATTAATATACTTTGCAGAGGATAATAGATGGATGTTTCCCAGAAACTGTAATGGATTTTTCAAAACTTATTTTTAAATTTGTATTTGCTGTTGTGTGCATGGTGTGTGTGTGTGTGTGTGTGTGTGTGTGTGTGTGTGTGTACACTTGCCACAGTATGCGTGCAGGTCAGAGGACAACGTTGTGACACCTGTTCTCCTACCTCTAACCAGGTTGTGGGGTCAAACTCGGGTTGCCAGGTTTGTGAAGCGGTCTCTTTACTCACTGAGCCATCTCACCGGCCTCTATTTTACTTTTATTTTTACATTTTTGGGAACAAAGTCTCATACTTCAGCTGAAGCTGTTCTGAATTCCTGGTTCTTCTGCCTTCACCTCTCAAATGCTAGGATTACGGGCTTGGGCCTCTACATTCTACTTTGTAATGGATTTATAACCATCTTCTTTCTCCTATTCCAACTCATGATCTCTGTTGCCAGATGCACAGAGAACTAATCATAGTAGTTGATACAGTCTGGAGCATTTCAGGGCCTGCTGGTTAAAATATTTAGGGATGAAGGCAGGGGAAAGAAAAGAATAAAAGTACAATGTATGATAAAAGTTTTTAATGAAAATATTCAGGGTTGTCCTTTTACAAATGTTATATTAGTTTATTTCCTCCTGATATTTAAGGGTAGGTCCTTGGTTGTGGGAAATACATTGTCTTCTATAGCCTGGGTAGGTCTCAGACATCCCATGAAACACAGGCTGGCCTTAAACTTTCTCTGATCTTCTTTCCTACAGTTGCCCAAATCCAACTGCTGGGATTACAGATGTGTACAATCATGCCTAGCTTTAAATTTTGGTGTGTGTGTGTGTGTGTGTGTGTGTGTGTGTGTCTGTGTGTGTCTGTGTGTTTGTGTGTTTAGAAATGAAACAGGTTTATTGAGTATACTCCAAGAGGGATCAGGCTGGGCAGTAATAAAATATTGCTTGTTTTCCTTCCTTCCTTCTTCCCTTCCTTCCTTCCTTCCTTCCTTCCTTCCTTCCTTCCTTCCTTCTTTTTTTCTCTCTCTTTTTTTTTTATTAATTACACTTTATTCACTTTGTATCCCCCCCATAAACCCCTCCCTCCTCCCTTCCTAATCCCACCTTCCCTCCCTTTCCTTCACACATGCCCCTCCCCAAGTCCACTGATAGGGGAGGTCCCCCTTTCTTCCTTCTGATCTTAGTCTATCAGAACTCATCAGGAGTGGCGGCTGCATTGCCATCTTCTGTGGCCTGGTAAGGCTGCTCCCCCCTCAGGGGGAGGTGATCAAAGAGCAGGCCAATCAGTTCATGTCAGAGGCAGTCCCTCTTCCCATTACTATGGAACCCACTTGGACACTGAACTGCCATGGGCTACATCTGTGCAGGGGTTCTAGGTTATCTCCATGCATGGTACTTGGTTGGAGTATGAGTCTCTGGAAAGACCCTTGTGTTCAAATTTTCTGGTTCTGTTGCTCTCCTTGTGGAGTTCCTGTCCTCTTCAGATCTTACTATTTCCCTCTTCTTTCATAAGATTCTGTGCACCTCTTACTCTTTTTTTAATACACAGTCTCACTATATAGCCCTGGATGGCCTTGAACTCACAGAGATTTGCCTACTTCCATTGGGCTCAAAGTCTTGAGCCACTATACCTCACTTTGAGACCTCACTTTTTAGCTCAGGTTGGTGGCCTGTAACTCACCTTGAATAGCCCAGGCTGACCTATAATTTGTGGCAATCCTTCTGCTTCCCAAGTGCTGGGATTACAGCCATGAGCTTTGTTCCCAGTTCATTTATTTTCCAAGTAGAAGTTAAGAGAAGTCCAGTGACATGTTCAAAGCCACATGAGTAAACTCTTTGACTGGCATTCAGGCTCTGTCCCCCTTCCTGTCATCCCCCTTACCTCCCATTACATGAAAGTGGCCTGCAACCCATGGCGGATCCTGAGAGGGGAAACAGATTTCTCTGGGAAACAGCGTAGTGAGACAGCTTGTTTAGTTGAGGGGAGCAAAGGATATATAAACCTCTGTAGGGTGGACAGGTGCTTTAGGAGTGAGTGTACATCATTGGGGGGGGGGTCCCAGTGTGCAGGGGATGCCTCATTTTTGCATGAGGACAAATTCCAGGTGCTGCTGGACATGACCTTATAAGGAAAGAGGAAGTTTACCAGGTTACCTCAACTCCTCCAGGGGGCCAGCAAAGGAGGGGGAGCAGGGCTACGTTTGCTGTGACATTCACAGTGTGGGGGTCCTACTGCTGATCTCAGGACTACATTTCCCGGATCTGGACACACCTCAACCCTACTCTTGCTCCTACTCTTTCTCTGGGCAGGCTTCCCCAAGTCCCATGGCTCCCTGGCCCCACATTTGACTCAGACTGAGGTCTAAGATTTGTAGCATTGTGAAGTGACAGAGATTTTGTTTTATTTCTTTGGAGCTAGATAACCTCGAGAAAGTTCCCCAGTCTCCACTGTCCAGCATGCTGTTGAGAACCAGTATCTCTCACTTTTCTTTTTAAATCTGGGCAGTGGAATAAGGCATATGTAAAATGACTAACATTGATTCTTCCCTCAGTCTTTTCACACCACTATAATGCCTTTTGTCTAGGTGTTTTCACTATTCACTAAAATTGGGACAGATGTTTCTTAATCCCAACACCATTGACATTTTGGGCCAGATAATTCCGTGTGGGGTTATCATGAGTGCCACATCCTCTTTGTAGTATCTCAGGACTCTACCACTGCTGCAATAACTACTTCTCTCTAGTGTGCTAATGAAAGATTATCTATCTATCTATCTATCTATCTATCTATCTATCTATCTATCTATCTGGTCTCTGTGTAGCTGTGGTTATCCTGGAACTCTCTGTCTCTCAAGTGCCGGGATTAAAGGCGTGTGCCATGATCCTTGGCAATCAAAGATCTTTAGATGCTAGGCAATCTTTGGACTGGGGACTGGAGAAATGACTCAATGGTTTAGAGTACTTGTTCTTGCAAAGAACCTGAATTTTATTCTCAGCACCTACATGGGGAGTAACAGCCCTCCAAAAATTCCAGTTCTAGGAGTTCTGGTGCCCTCTTCTGACCTCCAGGGCCTCCAGACACACATGGTGCGTATGTATGTATGTGTGTGTGTATGCCAGCAAAACATTCATAGACATAAAATAGATAAATTTAAGAAAAAATTATAATAAAAAAAGATTTTTAGACATTGTCAACTATAACATGCAAAGTAGTCCTGGATTAGAACTGTCGTTAGCAGACGATGGGTGATAACCTGAATTGTGGCAGTTATTCTTAAATCTGAATCCTTCACCTGCCACTGTTCATGTTGCTGTTGAGCTGAATGAATTGAATGCCATTGGTCTTGCCTATCAGCATTAACTTTATTGAATCTCATCAGAAAGAGCACTTCACATGCTTTTCTGATTTAGTTTAGGACAGAGAATAGTGGAGAATAGTATTTCCTGTCCTACTTCTGAGTTTTATTGTGGTGTGACCGTGTAAACAACAAAAACCTTGTAAACAACAAAAACCCAGTCTTACCCCAGTATTCCAGTAAGTTTTCTGTGTATTTACCTCACTGATATATAAGCAGTTGGTTTGTATGAGATGGTTAAAAAGACAAAAAAAAAAAAGCTTTCTTTTTTTTCTTCTTTGCCTTTGTAGTTGCTATTTATTTATTTAGGTCCGTTTGTATGTGTAGAGACAATGCCCAACAATAAACAAAATTTTATTTTGCCAA